CCAAGCTCTCAGGGAGAAAGTTTCAGTTCTCTGAGCCTGCACTGTGCAACTCCAGGATCAATCAGAACTGCTGAAGAGAAACTCTAATTAATATGACCGATTCTTGAGGTCCCTCTGTGACCTTAAGTACCGAGGCAATGGGATTAGAGGAGATGCACTGCAACGCATCCCATTCCTACCATGTTGGGATAGAGTAGACAGCTCTGCCTCCTCTACCAGCTTTACACTAAAGAGAACTCACTACAAAAGGTAAATTTTCCCCTGGACAGGTACAGTCAGAATCTGGACCTCCTGTGCTGGCAAAGAAGCATAAAGTGGCTACAGGTGATCAGAGAATCTTGCCATTCACACATATAAAAGAAATATGAACTTCCTTCATATTGAACCCTATCAATATGTAACAAATCCAACCAAAGGGCTATTTTCCTGGGCAGGGATGGTGGTTGCATGCCCAGCACCACTAAGCTCTTTGGGACAGGTACTGTCCAAAAATTCAAAATGAAAGAAGTGCCTAGCACCACACTTGGTTTCAGTTTCAGATTCTAGCCTGTCTCTTTTCCTAAGTTCTCTTTGTGCTGTAGCATTTGTGCTCCAACATTTAATAGAAATGTTTCACTAACTTAGAAAGTAGACTTCTATTGAAAATACCAAATATATTCCTTTTCCCCCTAAAATTTAATGAAAATATATCTTTTAATGCTGGATGTTATTTAAAAAAATTAAACTACAAACTGAGAGGTGTCAGAACCCAGTAGTTGTATGCCTATGGCACAGTGGAAAATTCCATTGGTTTGATACATGTGCCATAGTGGAACATCCCGCTGTCAATCATTCTGAATGTTATGGCACGAACAGGATCAGGGGAAGACGCGATGGAGTCGGAACTAGTTAAGAACTGCCCATGGCGCAGTGGGGAGCGCCTGACGTCCGACTCAGATGAGCTATGGGCGCACATTGCCTATCATCAGGCAGGCGGGAGTTCAAATGTGATCACCGGTTACTTCTCCCTCGAGGAGAAGAGGGAGTCGGAAAGGAGTGGGCCGCACAACTGGGCCCAAGCTCTTTCGGGTGTGTTATGAGCAGAAAAGGGGTCATGTACCGACCGCGGGACAAATTAGAAACGCTGTCCCTGGCCTGAGTAAAAGCAGCGGGCACGACAAATCCGCACCCCGCACAAGAGTTTGCACGCTGCATTCGACACGTACGAGAGGGCAGGGAAGGGATACCCCCCCACAAGTTCAACTGTCCGGCCCTGACACCCCAGTCGCGCAGCCAAGAACTGCTCGCCCAGCTTTGTAAAAGCTTAGAAGCGGAGGCCCACACCACAACTGAGTGGATAGGCTCCGAGTGGGACAAAGGGAAGATGATTAACATGCCGTTCCGCGCAGTGTCACTCCTGCTGCATGAAAATGCTAACTTAGAGATCCAGTTAGCTACGGTCAGCAAAGCTGCTGTGGAAATGGTGGCGCACCAAAACCCTCCGCTGCCACCAGAAAATGGCACTGAGAAAAAAATGAGCCGCCTGGAGGACCCGGGAAAGAAGGGCAGAGCCACAGAAGAACAGGCGGGACTTCACCCAGCAAGCCCGTCCCCTGAGGTGACGTTGCTCCCAACGGCCCCACCTCTGTACCACGGGGAGGGGGCAACGAGCAGGAGATTGTATCCGACCCTCACACCAGATACAGTAACTATTTCAGCAGCCGCTCACCCTGTAGCAATAACCAAGCAAGTAACCAACCCGCAGGGTGCAGCAACCACCACCACCTATTGCACTCGCAACAGGGCTGAGCTACAAGAATTATGTAAAGAATCAAAAGTAAAACCCACCGAGACACTAGTCATTTGACTGGGTCATCTCGTAGTGGAGTATGGATCCGAACTATTGGATTTGGAGGTCAGCTTCCTAACTCGTCAGGCCTCGTGGAGTGGAGGACATGCTACTGACTTAGAACTGGTAGTGAACAACAACAACTGGAACATTCCACTCCCGTCCCTATCTGCGGGACAGATCAAGAATAAATCTCACGCGTGGCACGATGACAGGTCGGGAAAAGCCACAGCAGAACAACTCCTACTAGCCATAATAGGGGTATCCTATTGTTCTTGGAACCCGGAGTTACATCAGTTGGGGATGACGTAAGCCCAGCAAAGAAGCAACTGGCCTCACCGGTTCCAAGGCAACTGGCCTCACCGGTTCCTAAGAAACCCCGGGACAGTCCCAGCCACCCTTGACGCCATCGAAGCATGTGTGGAGGTTTAAGGAGGAGAAAACGCCATCACCCTCCGTCTCCTCCTCAACCCACTAGCTACTCAACCAGCTGGGAATATCTTAAGTCAACTTCCATGACTGCAAACCCTTACGAAGTCAGTAGCTGCAAATCCAGCCGGCCTATCAAGCCACCTTGCTGCATACCCAGTCGAGTACCACAGGCCAAGACATCCCCAATTCGACCCACGGAAGGAATCGAGACTGCCACCCCAGAGGACGCCAGAGGAAAGAGCTATGTTCGGTTTCCTCCTAAACCACTCCACGCTTACCAAGCAACAGCTACGCGTCCTAAGAGATGCAGGACGATGACAACTGACACATAAACTAGGCTTCCAATATAATAAGAAACCTCGACCGGTCCCGCCAACCTGTCCGGGCCCCGGAGGCACCCACGCCTAGCGACGCACTCCGGATAACACCGCAAACTGCCCCAACGAGCACCTTTTACTACCCCATTCTCAGAGCAGCATTAATGAGTTCTGCTTGCCACGGCGCGAACTTCAAGGTTGTTAAGCCCAAACAGGCCTGGCAAACCTCTTATTTCTCGGGCAACTGCGCACAGTTGTCTACTCCTGCTCCCTTGGGAATGTTATGGGCTTGTTCAGATGGACACCTATATACAGCACTCCCAGCCACACTTTCTGGAATACAATGTTTCCTAACTACTGTATCGCTTTGTCCTCCCTTATATGCCAGCACCTCCAGACCCCCTAGCCCAATGTTACTTCATTGCCATACGCGACGCGCTCTGGTGTGGAGCGAGTTAACAGACAAAGAAAAATTCAACCAAAAATTTGTGTGGGCACTTGAAGGTTATTTTGCGTGGGGAATAGGGATAGGCAAGGCGAGAGTCGCTATCGCCAAGTTAGCTGAACAAGTTGAGCTTCTAGCCAATAGTAGCGAAACATCCCTACAGTTATTAAACCGGCAATTACAGGCTACATCGCACATGACCATGCAGAACCGCTTAGCCCTCAACGCGATGTTACTACATCTGGGAGGCGTGTGTCAATTCCTTAACCTGTCTAAGGAACACTGTTGTATTAGCATACCTAACGTTACTATTCCACTAGAAGATCAACTCGACCGCATAAAACAAATTGCCGCAGACACTAACAACGTCGCTGGGATCGGAAAGGGATGGGATGGGACACGTCATCTTGGTTAATGCATTTATTAACTCCCCTCATTACCTTGTGTTTACCATTAACTGTAATAGCCATTGTTATATGTATGGGTTGTTGTATTTTATAGTTTGTTGAAAGGCGATTCACTAAGCTATCTGCTTATGTATACATTCACTTACCATCTGAGTCCTGTGGTAACGACGAGTTCCTGGACGAAAATTATCTATAACTTGAGCTCTTAATCTATTGTGTCATGACTAAGGAGGCACAAAAATCACCTCACCTTAGATGCAATGCTCCTACATCAGGGAGGTCCATGTCAGTATCTTAATTTATCCCGTGATCTCTGTTGTATTAGTATCCCTGGTGTTTCAATACCCTTAAGTGATCAATCGAGGTAATCCAGAAAATCGCCACCGACACAAACAAAATCTCAGGTATTAGAGAGGGATGGCTATCGAACCTCTTTAATTGGTTTGGATGGGACGCATCGTCATGGCTCTTAACCCTTCTAGCCCCCATTATTACCTTGATAATGCCTTTTGTTTGCATTGGTATTTGCGTATGTGTTGGTTGTTGTTTTATGCAATACCTTAAGAACAGACTTGTTTCGTTATCAGTTTTTGTATATATACTCGTTTACCTTATGAGTCTCCCGAACGAGACGACGACAACGTGACCGGCTTATACATAGAATAGTTCCAACTGTGCCATTAGCAAGGGGGCATGTCAGAACCCAGTAGTTGTATGCCTATGGCACAGTGGAAAATTCCATTGGTTTGATACATGTGCCATAGTGGAACATCCCGCTGTCAATCATACTGCTGTCAATCATTCTGAATGTTATGGCACAGTGGAAAATTCCGCTGGTGGCAGTCTAGGTCATGGTGGAAAATTCCGCTATGTCAGAACCCAATAACTATATGCCACAGTAATGGAAAATTACAGCTTAGAAAAAGTTCCCGCCAACTTTATGCAAACACGCACACCACCATTGGCCGGTTCTAAATTATTCATATTTGGTGACTCGCGATTGGCTTGTTAGTCATATAAAAGTTAAAGCAGTTTCTGCGCAAGTTGGAGAACTCCGCATATTTCTCCAGGTTGGAGAACTCTGCACATCTCGGAGTAAACCTGGCGGACTGATCACCCACCAGTGACTCCCCGTCACCGACCTACCGACGTATCCCCTGCTCTCAGTGCTCGTTAAGCCATTCACGGACATCTCATTTCGTTCTCAGAAAGCTTTCATCTTGTTCGGTTTGCAACTGTAATCTAAGTCAGTTCTTCTTCCTGCGCTGTGTACACCGACGGCGTAAGTAAATAATCTCTTTGTTCAACCAATATGCTTCAGTGCCTAATTCCGCTCCGTCGGTCAAAAGTACCCGCCTGCCGTTTCGGGGCTACTGGCCATAGCCTCGGCCTGCCACTCAACCGCCATAAGAGGAAAAGTCGTGTCTCATCAACTCATGCAAATAATCTCCTGAGTGAAAGAAAGCTGCCCTTCCTTCTACTGCTGTGTTTTCATTGTCTGATGCCTATGTATGCATGTTGACTCAGCAAATGAAGATGACCATGGACCAAAACTTAAAAGGCAGACTTACCTCCAAAAGTGATAGAAAACCAGTGGGACATTCAGCCCCAAGGTGAGCCATTCCTGAGCGCACAAAAACATTATACAGAAAAGGCTGTGGATGGAATATTCAGGTAGCACCAGCTGCAGAAACAGAAAGAACAACTTGTCAGAAAATACACTTCAGTGATTTTAATTGTTTAAAACAGTTTTTCAGTAAGCAAACTGTATCTGCAAGTCTGCTGTGTGTATAAGATTCCCTTGGGTCCAACTTGGTTGACAGAGAAAACAGTCAAGAGTAACGAGTACAGGGTGGAGTGCCAGGCTCTCCTGAGTTTTAATCCTGGCTCTATTCCAGTGACTTACTGAGATGCCATGGGAATGTGATGGGAACATCATTTATCCTATTAGTGCACTAGGTTCTTCTGTCTAAAATGGAATTATAATACTTACCTACCTCACAGGGCATTTTGAGAGAAGTTATTCAAGTCCCAAGTATGGTTACAGAGATGTTTAAAAAGGGAAAATAGAGATCTAGTATCATATGTGGAAGAGCATCTTTGAAAAGCCAGAAGGTTGTTTTCCACAATTTTAAGGTGTTACATATGCCCCAAAAGGAAGGGAGCTTCAGGCAATTTGAGCCAAAATTTGATCGAAAGGGATCCTTGAAAACCCTCCTCTTTGGCAAGGCACAGCTCCCAGCACATCATGGACCTAAAAAGTGGGTCATTCTTAAGAAAAGAAAAGGAGAAGGTGGAAAAAGGAAAGGAAATGATGTGACATCATTGAGAGTACTTTTATTTACCAAAGCCCCTGTTTTTTTACAGTATTTGCACTTGCCTTGCATACATGAGCACTCTCATCATCAGCGATGGTACTGCATTAATGACAACAGCAACAGAAGATTTTAGTGAAAACAGGCTAGTGTAGACAACACTTACCTTTGCTGACTTCTCCATTTCTCATCTGTAATCTAACTAGTATTTGTTTCTGGTGTTCTTTCTGGAATTCTGTATTTGTAATCCCCACTTGAGCCATGACAGCTCATTTGTCAACATCAGTCATTTCTTAAAATCTAGACAAATCTACAGGCAAGTGAGCTTTGCCCTCTGTTGTGTCTCTGAGCCCCCTCAGCTAAGGTCAGGCTCCACCACAAGAAGCACTTGGAGTTCTTCTAGTATAAATTCACTAGTGCCTGTCAAACACCCAATCTTCAAATTGCTTTTTCTGAATATAATAGAGAACTTGTTACATTTCCCACTAACTAGCTATCTTGCAGGATTATCATGAATCCCATTTTTAATTCCTTTATAAATCTTTCTATCTTATACAGAACTTATTTATTTGTAACTTTTATTTGCCATTGTTACTTCTTTCCCAGTAATTAACACATTTAGAGGCATCTTATTCTGAACCTGTATTTTCAGTTTTAGCTCCTTCAAAGCAATGTATTTTATGTGGATGACACATCATGGCCCAATTATATGGTTTGGATTCCAGACTCAGGTTATTTATCACTGCTGGGGGGGGGGGGGGGGGGGGGGTCAACCTTTCCAGCCAGAATGATTCATCACTGTCAGAAATTGCAGATAAAAAGTTCTTAATCCATCTAGCTAAGCACCCCAGAATTTAAAGTGTGTTACATTAGCAATCCAGTACAATAAACCTGATCTCTATAGCCTTTTGTGGTGGTTATATATGAATGGAATCCTGGTAAAATATATGCAACTAAGGTCAGTTGACCTCGCTGACATCACTGGGGACATATAGGCATAAATGGAAACTAAGTGGCTTTTTACTTAGCAGGGGATTGTGATTGCCAGGGCTGGTAACAGTGCAAGCTTTTACCACGACTCAGAGAATGTGAAGAATGTGGGAGTTACCTGTATTACTTTTATGAACATTTTGTGTACCTCTACATATTCAGTTGCTGTTATACTGTTTGCTACTTCAGTTGAAAGAGCTCACTCCTACTCTAAAGAAAAACAGGTAATGGATTTAGATAAGCAAAGAAGTCAGCGAAGGAAATAACAATTGCTAGGCAACACATGGACCACTGAGTCCTAGAGTTTGCTGCCTCTGGGATACCCAAGATTTCAGACAGAAAACATGTAGAGGCTATCTGCTGTTTAGCCCCTCTCTCTAAATATTCATATTTCTATAGTCTTCAAAACAAATAATTGCTTTGAAAAACCTGGTCAGAGTCACTGAATCATGTACTGGTCACAGCTTCTAAAGGGAAACTATGCAAGCAGCCAAACACAGTCAGGCCCATGAACTCATAAGATTGGTATATAGTGTGGAGACGCAAGCTAAAAGTGCCATGAACTGTAGGATTCCACCTGGAGAGAAGTAGAGGCATGAGGTCAATGATTTGGAAGTATTTTCACAGACAGACTTCAGAAATAAAACTAAAGTACCACTAGTCACAAACCATAGCTACCACAGCCCTAGTCCTCCTAGGACTTGAGTCAAGGTGCACTGAAGTCAGCAGACATTGAAACTTTCAAATGACTTTAGTGATCATTGGATTAGACTCCTGCAAGAAGAAAGTTGGTTCAACTTTTAGTCCCATCCAGTGTTTGCCATTCCTGCCAAGACCTTCATGGTGGTGATAGTTTCTGTGATCTGGACATCTAATTTGTTACATACATACTACACAAAGCTGGCAAATGACAAGCACTTTACGATACTGCTGATCTACTGCTAATCCGAGGGCATGTCTACATGAGACATTTAATGCCTAGTGTGCTGGGCAAAAGCCATGCTAATACGCTACTGTGCAGTAGTATTAGGCTACTGCGCAGTAAGCAACACTAAAAACATGTGTGCTGGTGCTACTGCACAAAGTTACTGCACATTTGCTTATACTTCATTAAGCAAGTACTAAATTAAATGTGCAGAAACTACTGTGCATTAATGAATGTGTAGATGCACCCTGAATCAGTGACCTGGAAAAAGAAGGTTCCATACCCCCTTATCAACTTCCAGTCCTTAAGTATATGGTATTTAAGTGTTTCTTTTTCAAGTCATAGCAGTGGTTACATAAATCAGAATCTACACTGCAAAACTAGGGGACAAGAGAACAGAGTTAGGAACAGCAGTCCTGGAACCTTCTAACAGCCAAATCCTGCTCTCCATCACATTATGCAAGCCCACTTGTCCAACATGTTTCACTAAATACAGAATATGTTCCAAATGATGACCTCTGGTTAATAAGGTGGCAGCACTGATATCTTTTGAGATAAGTTCAAACATAAGGAGTTGAGGAGAAAATTGTCACAGTAAAAGCAATTGGTAGGAACAGCCAGTGCTGGGTCAGCCTGTGGTATACTGTGTGGTAACCAGGAGATGTAGCAGTCCATGAATCCTGCCTGCTTATATTTATCCAGAGAAAGAATCTGAAAGAATGTCTGAAAAAAATGTTACAACTTATAGAACTAGTGCCAAAGCTGAAGAACAGTTTCTACAGAAGAGAGGGGAGGAAAATGTATTACCATATTACTTCAAATTTAAGAGAGACAATTTAAAACCAAATATTTCTTCTAAAAATGGCCTGCATCTAAAATTCAAGTAAAACAAGTAAAAGAGGCAAAGCAACTCAACATTCAGGTAGCAAAAAAAAAAAGAGAATAAATAATAAGTGAAATATAATAATATTAAATAAAATATTAGACTAATTTAATAATGATAACATATATTTGATGCTTGAATTACAAACACCAACAAAGTTTGTGAATGCCAGAAGGTATATAAACAGGGGTGACTGCTGGGTCTCAAATCAACCATGACATACAGTCAGCCATTTTAAAACAAATAGGAATCACAGGTCCTTGACAATAATGTAGAGCTTCTTTTAAACTAAAAGTTGTGGAATTTGCAGAAACAAATGAAGATAAAGTAGATGGAAGGAAGGATCATATTAGTGAAACTCGTGTCAGGAAATAGTAACTATTTGCTTTCAGAATGCAAAAAAAACAAATGAAGGATTCAGCAAACCCAAATATGAACGATTCCCAGAAATCCAGAAAGGTGCCAGTGATTTTCTAATTAAACAACGTAGTGCAGGGTGACACCTTAGAGACTGATTGACTGAGAGGCATGAGCTTTTGTACTGACTGACAAAGTAGGCTGCTGCCCAGAAAAGCTCATGCCTCTCTGAACTAGTTAGTCTCTAAGGTGCCACTCTAGCCTGCCTTCCTCATGACTTGACCAGTGGGGGTCAACCTTTTTGGCAGGTATGTCACAAATTAGCCCTGCCTTCACCTGGGATGCCACTCCAATCCCCTTCCACTGCCCGATCTGCTGGTTTGCTTTCTGCTCTCTGTTCTGTGCTCCCAGTCCAATCTGCTGCTCTGCTTTCTGCTGCTGTGCTGCTTCTCCCCTCCCCAACCTGCTATGTGCCACACACAGAGACTGCCTCTGTCACTAGTGGCATGTGTGCCACAGGTCAACCACCCCTGCTTTAGACTAACATGGTTAACTACTTTCTAGCTAAATGATAACATTCTGGCCTTCCTGTCCGTTAAGAAGTGATTTGTGCCAAAACCTGTGAAGTGGCACCTGTAGCTGGCATGCCACATTCACAGCGTAAAGCAAGTTTGGGTTGGATGGAGAAGCTCATGAAGCAGCAAAGCTTTTTGTTATGCTGGTGAATCTTTGGGTGTCAGAAGCTTCTTGAAGAATGTGGAAAAAAAACTTTTACAGGTTCAGCATTTCCTGATGTTCCGCCTTACCAAACAGCACCGGCTTAGACAAATCGGAAATACTGAGCAGACCCCACATTTTTTGACATTCTGAGCAACTCGTTGGGACCCAGACGTTTTCAGGCCTGGGTCTGACCTCTGTGCTTAGCTTAAGCTGCATGCTTAGCTTGAATTGTAGTTGAGACTTGCACTGGGATAAAAGGAGCAGATGGAAAAATACTGTTCCTGACTTAAAATTAGTTGGGAAGTTGGCTAACTAAATTGAATAAACATAGCCTGCGCAAAAGAGGAACTGTCAGAGCAAAACCTACCCCCACCTAAGAATGAAAAGATTATTTCAGAATGGAAAATTCCAGTTAAAGGTAACCATGTTTGGCAAACAGAAGCAACATTATTAATATGCATTAGGAAAAAGGCTTAAACTAATTTTATGTATTA